GGTGTGTTCTGGAAGTCCTGTGGGAGCTGTCATGGGAGCAGTTTCACACCTGGGATGTACTGGATGCAGTGATCTCAGAGCTGTGCAAGCCCTGCTGAGCAGCCAGTGCAGAAATCCATCACCCCCTGAAAAACAGGATTCCTTGATAACAGGGCTCGGGGGTAGCGAGGGAAGTGGTGTCTAAAAGAAAAAAAACCCACAAAAGCAGGGTTGGCTGTGGTGCAGTGAGGGATGCTGCTGGGCCCTGGAGGCTGTCAGAAATCTGCTGCATTAGAGCAGGCTGAGCACTCTCAGATGCTCACTGTGGTTTTCTTGCCTTGCTGAGGTGCTGGTTTAACAGCTCCCTGGACAAATCATAGCAGGATCCTTTGCTAAAGCTCATTTGCAGCCTTGGTGAGATGAAGTAATGTGCTCAGATGCTTAGAGCTGGAAAGGATGGTGTTTATTTCAGAAAGATTCAGGCCTCTCGGGCTGGCAGCCCAGGCCTGATGCGGCATGAGCTGATGGATCCCAGAGAGGAGATGGTTCCCCAGAGCCTTGGGCGTGCTCCACGTTCAGTGTGACAGCTGCTTTGGCTCTTTGCCTTTGCCCTGCTGGGACAGGACTAGCACTGGCTAGCTTTGCTGGCTCTTTGCTCCATCTAGAGATTTTTCTGTGCCATAAGCTTCTCAATCTTGCCTTTTAGGCTGGCTTTAAAATTGCTCTAGAGTGCTAATTAGTCATATATAGCCAGAGAGCATTCTGCCTACCTCCTCACAGCTGGCAAAACAGCACCTGGGAGGGTGGCGGGGGAGACAGGCAGTGAGAAAGGAGCACAGGATTATGTTGCATTCGAAGTGTTATGACTGAGTAGCTTTAACAAGTAACAGGCAGCTTTGTCAGAGGCAGAAGAGGATGAACGGGCTTATTCTAATAATCTTCCTGGAGCATTAGCAGCACTGGTTCAGGTGCTAAAGGTCTTCCAGACTGTTGAGATTTAAGCAGTTAAAAACACACCCTTGATTTCTTCTTTTGGAACCTATAGGGCTTTAGGGTTTTCTCCTGGGCTGGGTTGTTTTTTATTATAATTTTTCATCTAAATAGGAAAACCCAGAGCTGTTAGCATAAAGCTGATTTTAAGAGGCTGGGTGTGCTTGGACAGGGGAGCTTATGGAGCTCGTGAAAGTGAGTCACATTTGGGGTGGCATTTGTGATTCGGAACTGCTAAAAGATAGAGGAGGGCAAAGCAGGGTGGTGAAAGGCTCTGGGAATACTATTGCAATCAAAAGCAAACACTCAGCTTCCTCTGTATTGACTCCTCATGGGGAGAAGCTCTCTGGTTTTAAGCTTGTGTTGACCTTGGGTCATTGTATTTCATTTGCTTTCGCTGCAGTGAGGGAGCAGGCAAGTCATCTTGGGAAGTGCAGCAGCCTAGAAAGGGCTGGAACAAGCAGCACAGACCTGCTGATGGGTACAAGCTCTGTCATGTTAGCCTTCCTTCCCCTGGCCTGCCCTGACTCCAAGCCTTGCTTCCCAACTACTCAGGATTTCATAAATCCTTCCAAAATCACCAGACCGATGTCTTTTAAAGTTAGCAAGCAGGCAATGAAGAATTTGTCCAAGAGGTGTTGCTTCTGCAGCTGCTCCCTGGTGTTTGATCCAGCTTTGCTGGCGGATGTTGGAGCAGGTTTCAGACCTGCGATGAGAACTAGCACTGGGTGCTGGGCACAGGGCTTATCACTTCCCTCTTCTTTTCCAGGTACCTGTCACTCTGAAAAGTTTTTTGGTGAGTACTCTTATCTTTCCTTTCTGAGCAATTACTCCCTTAATTAAAACTAGGCTCCAGGGCAGATGCAAGGATAGGGCATAGCAGTGCTTTTCTTGTGGAGACTGCTTCAAGCCATTATGCCCACATTGTCATGGGTATGAAGACATGTCAGAGCTGCAATACACAGGATGAGTCCCATCCCCTGCCAAGGCCTGATCAGTCTCAGCAAGTAGACTAAGATTATTCCAAAGGAGTAACCCAGTCTTGACCTCCATGCCTGCCAAATGTGTTTTAAAGTGCACTGTTTCCTTTCCTTGAAATACCTCCTCAGAGCAGGGCATAGCTCCTCACTCCCACCACTGCTGAGTGCCATAAATTTGGTTTTCCTGCAGTGAAAGGTGGGAATAAAATGAAAGCAGCATCCCAAGGTTTCTCTGTAAGGACTTCTCAGCCTGGCTCAGTGCCTCCCCTTCCTAGACAAAAGTGGCTCGTGAGACGTGTGGTCCCAGTAGGGCAGGTGCATGGATCCTCCTGCACTCATGGGATTTGGCTTCTCAAAGGAAAACTTTTCAAGTCTTTCAAAATGATGGTTTATGTATTCTGTCCATTTTCAGAAAGCTGAAGGCTTTCTGCAGGGTGCCTCAAGCTTGTAGCAGCATAGGGTCTATCCTTCCTGCCTAGATGAAAGAAAAGTTTTCCTGTGTCCTCGCTCGGCCAAAGGAGGTGAGACCTTGCCTCCTGCTGAGCTTTTACAGCTTTGCTTCTTGGTGTTTCCATCAGCTACAGGCAAGGTAGCTCTTTTAGTGGGCAACAACCGCTACCATCATCATCCCAACCTGATGGCTCCTGTCAAGGATGTGTTTGAGCTGAGTCGTCTTCTGGAGCAGCTGGGCTTCCAGGTGGTCTCCCTTCTGGACCTGAACAAAGCTGAGATGGTAGCAGCAGTCAGTCGGTTCCTGCAGCTCCTGGAGAAGGGAGTCTATGGTAAGGCAAAGCCAGTAAGTTGGTAATAGTGGTTGATGCCAGGGAGGAGTAGGGATTTGGCAATTTTTCCAACCAGCTGTTGAACTAAAAAAGAAGAAATTAAGTTTTCCTTTAAGGGGGGCAGAGGAGCCCTGTACCACAGTCTGCAGCAGTGCCAGTCTTGGCAGAAGTCCTAAAGTAAATGCTGTTCAGTTTTGGCCAGGTTGCAAGCATGTAAAGTAGGTGTTTCTCCATCACATAACTCACCTCCAACAGCATGGTCTCATGTGAAGGTTTTGAAGTCCCAGTGGTTCTGATTGCAAATGGGAGAAAGTCTTGTCTTTTCCTTAAATGAAAGATTGAGGAGTTTGACCATCAGTTGTCCCCATCACGCTTCTTTGCAAGGAGAGGAGTTCCTTTTGAGCTTTGACTGCTACAGCCAGTCACAATTTCCTTGTTTCTCTTTCCTGATAGTCTAATTTGAGCCTCTGACAGCCTTTTTGCAGAAGCACATTCCCAGCTGCAGATGGCTTTGAGGTTGGGCTTTGAGCTTGTCACTTGCTGTCC